CCATAGACTGAATATGTGAGTAATGAGGAAGTTTTAAGGAAAATGGAAACAAAAAATTGTTTATATTTGGAATCAGAAAGAGATAGTTGAAATTTCTATGGCACATAAGGAAGAAAGAGAATCAGAGAACTGGACATATTGAAGGCAAGAAGGACAGAGGGAAACAGCAAGTAATCTGCCTAACAAGTTTGTGTAAATGGATGGCAGAATAGAAATGGGGAGGAATAGCAAAAGATAAACATTTCTAAAAGCATAGAAAAATTGTGAACAGCCATGATTAGGACATGGCATGTAGAAGAAGTCAATAGTCACCATGTTTTATAAAATAACCCTAATGTCAGTCAACACAATTTTTAAGATATAACCTAGTTTTATGTTCCAACAATAACAGAAGGATTTATTTACACTATTAATTCTGAATTAGAAAGAAGCACTTGAATTTATGTTAGTATCTTTGAGATGAGGAATTATTATTATATACTGTTCTATTCAGCCCAGCATCCTCATCTTGGTTGTTATACTCATAATGTTTGTGAGAATCTTTGAGATTAGGAATTACCATTATTATATACTTTTCTATTTAGACAAGCATGCTCCTTTTAGTTATCATATATACTTGACTTTAGTGCAAGAGTTAATGATTAGATTTTTTATGCAAAAAATAGGGGTCACACTATGCACAGGCAATTTTTTGAAGAAATTAAAAATCATTCATTTTCAGTGATTGGTTACATTATACAGAGGTAAATTTTTTTTCTAGAGGAGTTAAAATTCATGAAAAATTTCAGGAGTTGCACTATAAATATTGGTTTATACATAAGTATATAAAATATACTCACAGCATTTCAGCTGTTTACTCTTTGGCTGTTTCTTTGAGTCGGTGGTCATGTATAATAAGAGACACATGGCCTAATAAATTAAAATGTTGATGAAAGCACATTTTGTTTCCTAGCAGTTGTGGGTTCAATCCTGGAGTCAGGTAAAGTGGAAAAGTCATATTCTCGGGTTCAGTAGAAGAAACAGACAAGGGACACAAAGGCAAATAGACTAGAATGAAGTCAAACAAGGTATCTCTTAAGGATGGAAGGCAGGATAAGAACCAACAACTCCAGTTCAAAATTTAAAGAAGGTTACTGAGTACAATAATAAACCCTGAAGAAGACCAGAGAGTACAATCTTTGAAACATTATGAGTATAACAATGAACATGAGCATGCAAATAGAAAGTCGCATAAGAAGTCTAGTTTGCAAGTTTTGCAAAGTTTATTCTGCTTGCAGAAGATATATATATATATATATATATATATATATATATATATATATATATATATATATATATATTATATATATATATATATATTTTTGCTTAGCATTAAATAGCATGATAGGTGAGAAGGTTCACAATTTTGCCAGTGAATGTTTGAGGTCAATATACTCATATTGAGTGTGTCAGAAGAAAAGAACAAACCAAGCTTGAATAAAATTATGGTTGGTTAAAGTTCATGCAAAGATTTGCATTTAAAAAACAGGATTTTCTGAACAATTTTTTTTCCTTTTAAAAAGAAGTACACTGGACATATTTGTTGAAAACAAGAATTATTTAACATTTCTTCTGGCAATTAAAAAGATTCAAAATTAAATAGCTGGATTTTAAATTGATATCATGGCTTCAAACATCTGATTAGAAAAGATTGTCAATGATGAACTCTTCATTTCTTCAGTCACTGCATTTTGTATTGAAAAGATGCTTAATGAATTAGACTTTAGTTCTTGTAAATTAGTGAATTTGGCATATGATTGAGTAATTAAGCCATGGTGACTTTTACCTCAAAACTATTTCTGAAAGACTGCATTTTCTCATGGGAAGATGGATATATATGTTAGTTTTGGGGTGGTACAAAATGAATTTGAAATGCTGTTTTGCTAATTTGATTGGCATATGTTTAATTATTTTAGAGAAATAAATGATAATATTAGAATTCTTAGCCATTATCCATTTCTTTGCAAATATTTATAACTTTTAGTAAAGACAAAATTGCTGAGAATCATGAATGTTCTAAAGAACTGTTAGAAATGTGTTGTAACCTAGGGAAGGCTAATGAATAGAATAATTACACAAAGATTGGTAATGAATGGTAATACTTAGGACAAGAACAACACATATAAGATTTGCAAGCACCGCATAGAAGAAGTATTCAACTGCTAGAAGTGAGTCAAGTGAAGTCCACAATGAATTTCCAACTGCAGACCAACATACCGTATTTACTACTGTATTTATATGAATGGGGACATACCCATTATCATCCATAGGTATGCTAGAACAAAATGCTAGGTACCAAAACAGGGATTAGGAGATATAGCAAAAAGACAAACTTTATTAAAAACCACAAAATACAGGAAGCTGGGGAGAAGTATGATCGCCTACATTCTGTAGGAGCACAGCACATTAATTATTTTCATGGCTCATCAATCTTTTACAGGTTGTTTAATGCCATAAAATATTTTTAGATTGTAAGAATTTTTAGGAAATAATGATTTATTGATACAAGTCCGACTAATTAATCCATAGCTGGGGGAGAAGAGGTGGATTCAAACTTTTATCAATATAACAAACCCAATTGGAATTGGAACTCAGCTCTCCGATTTCCAATTCCAAACTATTATCCATTATATCATCCAAATATCCAAGCTTACAATGTCTGGGATTCCCAAGCAGTCACCTATCTTGCTTAGCCTCAAGCTTGCCTAAATTCGGTAGTTTCACAACACTGCAATGACTCACATCAACAAAACTCAGAACCTCAGAGACCAGCAGATGCAAGATATCTGGATTAACAGTGAGGTGACTGTTACATGAGAGTTATCCTTCACCTGGATGGATAACTTATTAAAGGCTTGAGGTTCATCACTCCTTGTGGGATAACTGTATACACTGGGCACCAACTCAGGTAGTTCTATGTCTCTGTGCATATAAATAAGCATACACACACAAAGGGGACACTGAAAAGTTGTCAGACCATCCAACTCTAAATATGATAAATATCAGAATTTTGTGGGGAATATCATCTTGATTGGTTGAAAAGTTTACCCACAGCCAACCCTAGAAATAAACACTCTGCAAGTTTTATTTTCTAAAAGTCCCAGCTTCTTTTAAATGAAAGGTGTAGGTTTTTGTCTTAATAAGGAAAGAAAAAATATCATATGCTATCATTAAGAAGATCAATTGAAAAAAAAAAAAGCTTCTATACATCACCTAAACATTATTGTAGTTTATTATAGTATAGTTTCATAGTCATTATATTTTATTACTAGTTATTGGTATTAGTCTCATATGGCTCATTTACAAATTAAATTATCATAGATATAAAAAAAACAAAAGGAAACTTATCTTAGCTGACACATTGTGTCCTCTGATGAACTTTATCAAGGCAAATGCAAGGATTTTATTTTGCAACAAGTAAAAATTTTGTTAGTCTTTAAAAAATTTTAAATTTAAGAGATGCTCATAAATATTCATCATGTGAACAGAAAAATCTGTATCATAGTTATGTATAAAGAGGACAAGAATCAGAGTATATATAGTTTTCAGTATACTATCCAATGTTTTGGGGACCATTTGGCGCTAGGAACATTTTCCTCATGAATAAAAAACATCTGCATTCATAAATATATATTTCAAATGTGTCTGTGTGTGTTTTTTGGCTACTATATATATATATATATATATATATATATATATATATATATATATATATATATATATATATTATATATATATATATATATATATATATATATATATATATATATATATATATATATATATATATATATATATATGCACAATCTTTTTATTAAAGATCATGCAATGATCATTTTGAAAAGATTTTATTTTATTGTTTTTACAAGCATTTTGACTGGTGATTCAAGATTAGAAACATATTCATAATCTCAAACAACCAATCAACATCTATTTTTGAACATTGTTTCTCCACATATATATGTTATAATCTCAAGCCACCAATAAAAATACTTGTAAGAAAGATGAAAACATGAAAAAATATTTCCATGGTCTGTAAAAATAACCTACAGACACACACACACACATAACTCCGAACATAATACTCAACATCTTATCTGAAAGTTTGAAAGGTATAATAAAAAAATTAAACAGACAGACCTTTTCGGTTGTTTTAATCAAACTTGTTTGGCTGAATACTTGCATCCAAAATATACTTTATTCATATAATATAATTTAATATAATTTATATATATATATATATATATATATATATATATATATATATATATATATTTATACACAATATTTTTACATATTTGTATAGATAGCTCCAGATAGGAGTATATATCTTGTTTGGGAATGATAGTGTTTAAGTCTATGTTGGGATATATAAATTTAGTATCATTATCTACATTCTCACTTTTATTACTTGTATATATTCAAAATTGTGTGGACTAATTTCTCTAGAAAGAAAAATGAAAAAGAGGTAAATTTAAAAAAAAAAAAAAATCAACAAAAACATCTATACACAAGTCATAAGCTCCCACAAAAGTAATTTATTTGGTTGAGAAATGCCAAAATTTCATAGGTTTCAAGTACTCACCAGAAAATTTATTAAATCCTCTTGAGATTGAAACATGCCAGCCTCAAATACTAATAGAAAAATTAATTTCACATTTTATGAGATAATTAAGAAAAAATTTTGAGTAAAAAGAAAGCTAGTTTAAAGTTATTTAAATTAGCCTAAATTATATTAGTGCACAAATATGTTTACATGTTATTAGTGTTAGAACATTATCATAAAGTAAAACTATTTTACCCATAACTAGGAGAGAAAAGAAGTCATAAACTCATACAGTTCCAAAAGCATTAGTGCCAAATGATTACAACAACCTTAGCTAGAACTTGGACAATACCTGGCTCTCCAATTCCCATTTCCAAGCTATTATCCATTTCACCACCTGCACATCTAATCTTATAGCAGCTGATATTCCCAAGCAGTCAGCCATTTAGGTACTTACCAGGCTTGACATTGCTTAACTTCAGTGATTGTATGAGAACTGATGTTTCAATATGATATGGCCGCAAACCGAAACTTCTTTAGAAGTTTGTGATAAACATGATAATAAACATGAAAAAAGAAAGTAAACCAATTCAGCTAAGTCTGTGCATTTATCACAAAATTCAATGAGCCATCAAAAGAGCACAGTAATGATATGACTCAGTCTAAAAACTAGTAATGTATTCAAAACAAATATACCAATAACAAAAGCATTTCAATTCACCAGAAGGCTTGAGAATATAAAACGAACACAATCCATTCCCAAAAGCCCATACGTTAGAATAGCCTAAAATTATTAAAAACGGGTTTTAAATTATCTAAGTCTCTAAAGAGATTTGTTGGTTCTGAATACAGTTCTTTTGATGTAACCAGTTTGAGAATAAATGATTTAATCAATCACTATTGTAAATAAGCATTGCTTACCAGTACTGTATTTTATTTTCAATCATAGAACTTAATGTTCTGTGATTGAAACATCAACATACATTAGGTCTTTTATAGTATAAAAGACCCCATCTTTTATCCACCAAAAATGTTCCACAAAATACCTCCTGGGTATTATATGTGAAGTTGAGGCTAATATTTACCCAAATACTGTAGACTGCCTTTATTTGACAAAGCATAATTTTATAATACTATAATAGTCATGTATAACACTTAAAGGGAATATTGGGTGTGAATCAGCTCCCTACTTTTTGCTAAAACTGGGAACTAAACAAAAAAATTTAATTTTTCCTGGCCTCAGTTTAAATGTGTGCTAGTGAATTGAGTTGTATAATTTGTCTAAAATTATTACTGCTATTAAATTCTAAAATAAATCATAAAACTTCATTATCTATTTTTTTTTTTAATCATTAATATCTAAAACTTTTATATTAGTCTTATATGCTGAAAAAGTTAGGTCTAATTCCAGAAAATAAGTACAAAAAAGATAAAATTATATTTAAAATTATAAAAAAAAAATTTAAATCAGCTATAAGTTCTGAAAAAATATTCATTTTATAAGGATTGATAGAAAATATAGAATCAAGAATATTTTAATCATAACATCTGATTGGGATGACCATTTATTTTCTGGTACTGTACCTAACATTAAATCTAAATGAAGTTATCTTACATATCAACTATAGTAGTTAATAGAGACAATGAAAATTCACAGAATCTGATAAGATATCTCTTGGTCTTTTGCTGGAAATGCCTGAATTCTTTTTTTTTTTTTTACAATAAGGTTCATCCTGTACAAGGCTGGGGTAGGAGGAAGAGGGTTACATTAGGAGGTCATTTGTGTGTATAGGAATAGGAGATAACCTTGAACAGGTTAAGATTGTAGTGATTGGAGAAACATCCTGTTGGGAGTTGGTTCCACAGGGAAGTTGTTTGCAGGAAGAAGCTGCTCGGTGGAATATGGAGGGAATGTGGATGGCTTGCTACTTTGTAAGTGGCATGGTGTGTTCTTGCTGTGAAGGTTTGATCTGTAGGGATTATAGTTTGTCTGAGCACTTTCAGTGGAAGTAGTGACAGAGCAGCGAGGGGCTTGCCACATATTTTGGGATTTCATTCCTACTCAACTGAAAAAATGTTTTTCAAGGGAGATCGCTATTAAATGCTAATTAAAGAGTGCTATCTTTTATTTATGTGCTTTTTTTGCATATGAGTAAAAACAGAGGTAAAAAAATTATATCTCTCCACCAAAAAAAAAGAAAAGAAAATAATGTTGTGTAATCTGTGAGGGAGCAAATTCAATGACAATCTTATTCCATCATAAGTTCCTATGGAAGGGTGACCTAATAAGTGAAAGACCTGTTGAGCTGAGGAAAACTAAAATAGCACAAAATATTTAGTATTTGTTCAAGTGTCTTTTTCTTTTTTTTGCTTATTTTTTAATTTAATATCAAAAAATACAGATTTTCTATGAACAAACAGTTAAGGTAAACAGAAGGATCTACTTAGAAATTTTAATATAATATTTACATGTAATAAATGTCAGAAATATATTTAATATTTTCCAGCTGTGTGAAATACAAACACTTAGTTCAGCTTAATATTGAAAACTTGGTGGGGAAAAGTACATAAAAACTTACACATACATACATAAACACTTAATTATATATTAAGAGATGTGATGGAAATAGAATTCACTCTTTTTGCAATAAGTAAATTTTCCATTTTAATTTGTCTTAATTTTGCTTAATAAAAACATTATATTTCTGTAAGTTATAAATTAAGTAATCTACAAATGTTCTATGAGAACTTAAAAATAAAGTGTATATGAAGGGATGCTGAAAAGTTCTTAACCTAACTCATTTCCCCAAATCAGTATTAGAGAACTTTTCAGCACCTCCAAGTTGAAATTTATTGTTTCAATTCTTAAATGAAGCATTATCATTTTACTATTAGTTTTTCAACTAGTGTTACTTTCATTAAAAGAAAATAATTTTTCTTGTAGTTTTCAGACCATCGTTCTACAATTGTGAGTAAACAATATGTATCAGAAATAAAGAATAAGTCTCTGATAAGACTAGAACTCACATTATTTTTTCCTTGCAAAGTCTGACATTATACGACAGCTGCCTTTTTAATGAAGCCACAGAAACTTTCCAGCTGCAGTCATTCAAATTTTACTCTCTTTGTTATGGTGAGATTAGGCCAAAAATAGAATATTGTAGCTGTATCTGGACTGGAGTTACTCAATACTCACTTTTCAGCCTCAATAGAGTTCAAAATTGTTTACACAGTCTTGTGTGGAGGTTATTTATTTTCCACTCTACAATCATTTTCCCCACAGCCTGTTGCAAACTTGCTCTATCACTATTTCCATGGCAAATAAATCCTAATTCTCTAGTTCTACAAATTCAAACTTTTACTGTTGCAAACTTGCTCTATCACTATTTGCCTGTTGCAAACTTGCTCTATCACTATTTCCATGGCAAATAAATCCTAATTCTCTAGTTCTACAAATTCAAACTTTTACTGCTAGCGGATACCATGCTACTTCTACAGGTTTAAATCACTCTTATTTCCTCCATGTTCCAAATATAAGAAGGAAGTTCACTCAGACAACATTTTAAACAAGAACTGCCAATTTGTGGAACAGACTCCTTTAAGAGTGCTTTTCAGAACGCAACAATCTTAAGTTCATCATGTCACTGGTCAATAATTATCTACTTGCATTATCCACATAATTTCTACTTCCTACCACCATCTCTTCACTCATAACTCACACCTCATTCATCATTATCATTTCAAATATAACCTCTACCTTGAGTGACTCTCAAGCCTTGTGAAATTAAGTCAAATAAATTCACCCCTTATCTTCCCCAATTGTTTCATGCATCAATTCTTTATTTACATACTATAGTAATATTATTTTCTTTTAATTTCTTATATGAAGCATTGTCAATTATTCATTTTTCAATTAATATTACTTTTATCTTGTTTTCCAATAGTTACAGGATGATAGTATCACTAAATCATTATCTTAAAAAAAAATCTAAAAATCTATTCTGGCATTAAATAACCTGCAAAGGGTTGATAAGCCGTAGAAAACAAATCAATCAATCAGTCCTAGACTGGCTGCTGCCCAAGACTAAAGAGCCCACTCTACCCTACTATTTAAATCATAGTCAGATGAAGCAGGAATCTGAGCTCAGCTCATCCACTCCAATTTCTGCCCCAATAACCGCTATGCTATCTGTATATCCTCACATTTTCAACATCTTTAAATAAACAAAAGGAAAGAAACAAATCATTTTTCATAAAATAAGTCAATTTGCATGTTTCTTCTGTTTTAGAACAAAGAAAACAATTGATTAATTTTTACTTTACAGGACTTGTCATCATATATTTTTTATTTTTTGCTTTAAAAACTAACTCTCTAAAAATGGGAAATAGAAAAATGTCTACAAAGAAACAAAGATGTCTTCTGGGTTCATATTTGTATTTAATACAAATGCACTTATCTGTAAAAGTAAAATTTTCTCTAATCTCTCTCTCTCTTTTTTTTTTTTTTGGTGAGAATCGGAAATCTTTCAAAGTTTTTATCTTCTGATATTAAATTACATAGTTGAATAATGTTAGTTGAGCAGATGATAGATTTCCTTGCAAATGAGGCACCTGACTCAAACAAATATAAACATGAAATGATTTTATAGTTGAAAAAAAAAAAAAAAAATGGGAGATAAGAAACTCTGAAACGTATGCAGTGTGATAATACATTGCAAAAGAAGAAATAAAAAGTAAAAAGAAAAAAATGAGAGAAAACAAAAACGGAAAAGATGAAGGTAGGGAGGATGAAACAAATTGAGAAAAGGAAATAGAAGAAAAGGCAAAGAGGTTAGAATGAAAGCAATATTTTAAGAGAGAGAGAGAGAAGAAAAGGGACAAAGCTGGGGAGGAAGAGAGAAAAAACTGAAAAGAAAAGAGAGTGAGGAGAGTAATGAAAGAAATGAGAATAATATAAAAAAAAGAAAAAGAAGAAAGTGTAACATAGAGAGAAAGAAGAGGAAAAAGAAATAATGGGGGAAGAAGAAAAGAAGGAAGCTGAATAAATGAAAGATAAAGCAGAAGATGAGTAGAAAGAATGAAGATGGGTAAATGAAAGATAAGGAAGATGACCAAGATTGAAGATGAATATTATAAGAGGCAAGATGAATAAACGAAAGATAGATGATAAATAAATGAAAGATAAGAAGAACAAGAGAAGGAGAAAAAATTAGAAAAGTAAAAGAATAAATGAAAAGAGGAAAAAATAAAAAAGATAGTAAAAAGAAAAAAAGAATGAAAAATAATAACAGACTAGCAATAGTCATGAAATATTTTTTTCTACTTTAATTTTCTGCTGAATCTCAATTCTTAAGTTAATGACTGAAAAAGCACCTAGTAAGTTCCACAACTATAAATTACCCATGGAAATTACCCTACTGTATTTATTTGAGCTTAAAAACTTAAAAAAATATTGCAATAACCAAAATAATATGAATTCAAGTCATCCTTTAAAGAAGAGGGTACAAATGAAATGATTTGAAATTGACAAGAATTTTCATTTCACTGAAGCAGATATTAAACACATGAAAGAGTTATGATCCTCCCTCTTTTTCTTTCCTTCCCTCTTCCCCTAAAAGCCAAACAGTGTCTTTGATATATCGGTCTTCCATTTTGCAGGCAGGGGACAGGCAAGCTATTACAGATCTATATTCTCAATCAAACAAGAATGGTTCATTGCTTATTTGAGGCAGTGGCAGTGCACTGTATAAGGAACAAAAGAAAAAGCAGAATTATACTAACATAGGAAAAAGAAGAAAAGAAAAAGCAAAAAAGAAAAGAAAAGAGAAGGAAAAGTACAACTGAGAGAGGGAGAAATAATAATAAAAGAAGAAAAGAAAGAAAAAGAAAAGAAAAAATGAAAGATAAGTAAAAGAAGAAAAGATAAGGAAAAGAAAGAAACAGGCAATAGTGATTGAAAGAAAAAATAGAAATAAAATAAATAATTAGATAAAAGAAAAAATATTCCAATGAGAAAGAGAAATGAATGAAAATGTTGAAGCATGAAAAGGAAATTAAGAAAAAGAAAAAAGGAAAACAATAATGCGATTAAAAAATGATAAGCAAAACATTTTTAAAAAATGAATATGACAAAATGGCAGTATTAAAGAAATATAACACCAACAAAATTTGTTTCCTGATAAGACTCCATCTTATGAGTGTGGGAATTTTAAAATTTATCTTGAGGGAGATGGAAATTCTAAACTAATTTTGTATCACTGGATTAAAATTGATCAATTCTCTCCTGACTTTGCATAGCCAACATCGATTAGGCATTTGTTTATTAAAAGGTAAGAAAAAAATTGTGAGGAAAATATTATTAATAATTTTGATATTTTAATTCTACAGACAGAATAAGGAAGAGTTTTCATTCTTTACTTGAAATGAAAATGTTTTTTTAAAATCATTTCTGATAAAATGATGAAAGAATATTTTAATTTTTTACCATCTTCCTTCTTATTCATACCAATACTAATGCATAGTATTAAAACATATTTCATTTACATTTAATTTATGTAAACATAGCTATATGTGTGTATGAGACTATTGGTCGTTGAATAAATTTTGATGTGACATGGTTATAACATAATTTTGACATGACATTGTTATAACATAATTTTAACCGTATGTGGTTATAATGTAACTTTGATGTTACATGGCTCTAACATAATTTTAACACTACATGGTTCTAATGAAATTTCAAGATAACATGATTCTAACATAATCTGTTGTCACTGAAATGAAAATTTATAAAAGTTAAATAAAAAATCCCAACTCCCAATAATAAAGAACTTATCTGAAAATGTCACAAATAAGTAATGAAATAAACTGTGAAAAATTATAAAAGAAATCGCTTTGAATAAATATAAAACTGACAAAAAGAAACAAAAAAAATGTTATATTTATGAAGGACATGTTCATCCTATTTTTACTACAATTATTGGGTCAGAACAAAAGTATGCATTGTTTTTTAAGTGAATTTCAAAGATAATATTTAGATATTTATACATAGCTTTATTCAACTACATCTGTGCCATTTTGGTCTACTACCTTTTGCCATCTTTGAAGCAGTTTCATGATTCTATACTCATAGAATATGATACCTTCTGGGTGATGAACTGGTCTAATTGGATTTTAAAGGCTTCTAGAAAAGTTCTTCCCATTAAGAGAATTTTTTAGGGATTGAAATGAATGACAGTCTGAAGGTAGTATGGCAAGTGTAGTAGAATATCCCAGCCAATCTGTACGAATTTCTGCTAGGTCTGAATTCACTGCCTGATTTTGTGGAAGGAGCTTGTAATACACAATTCCCTTCAGATGCGGACTGACTTTTGAAGTGATTAATGGTGGTTCATTTCATTTTTCCAAGGATATTTCCCACTTCACATTGTTGTAAACAATCCATTTTTCATTACCTAAGATTGTTCTTTTTTTAAAAAAACAGGATTATTTTGTTTGGACAGAGAATTGAAAATGAAAATGTGGTCTATTAAATTATTTCTGTTAAATTGTGATGCACCCAAACATCACAGTAGTTCATGTACCCAAGTTTTTTTCAAATGCCTTACAATGTTCATATGAAATACATGGAGTATCTCTGTAATGTCCCATCTTGTGTGACCTGGATTATTTTTAAGTCAGTATTTCAATTCTGTCTTCAACAACCGCAGGCCAGGTGGAATATTCTCAGTATTCCAAATGAAAATTTCACTACTAAACATAGTGAACTACTTATGAACAAGACTCATCTATGGCACCATCTCCATAAATGGCACCTATCTATTTAGCTGTTTTTTCCCAGAACTAAAAGAGTATCAAATGACAGAAATGCATCCTATTTTCTTCTTTCTATTTTTTTATGTAAAAATATATGTGCTGAAATATAACTTTTCAGAATATGCATAATTGTTGTAAATTTCAGTTACATGTGAAATGAAAACAGGTGTTCAAATGCCACCAATTGAAAAAGGCAATGAACTTTTGTTCCAAGCCCCCCCCCCAAAAAAAAACAGGTGATAATGCTTTATCTCAAAACTTATGACTGTTGGATAGCCATTTAGATAAAAATTCCTTAGAAATCATTTTATATATAAAAACAATAAAAATGTTATTACTAAGTTTGAAATAATGGCAATTATAAATATACAAGAATTTTTAAAATATTTTTCCTGGAAGTAAGAGTTAATGGACTTGGAAAATACAATCAAATTTTTTATTTCACTGATTGATTGATTTGTTTTCTACGGCCTACCAACCCTTTGCAGGTGATTTAAATCCAGAAAGTATTTTTATAATGAAAAATTTTTTGGGAGATAATAATGATTTAGTGAGACAAGTCTTACTAAATAATCCATAGCTTGGGGAGAATAGGTGGATTCATACCTTTCCCAAGGGTATTTGTGTGTAAATGATTATAATAAACCTAGGTACCTCCACGAAATCGCTAAAAAAAGAGCATAGCTTGATGAAAAAGACGCCAACCTTGCCAAAAACTAAATTTTATTGTCTAAATGCTTATGTTATTATTAAGAGGAAAGGCCAAAGTTTTTTTTTTAATTATTTTAAAAATTTTCCTTCTTTTTAGAACATTCTAAATTTTGATTAAAAAACCTTTTTTCTATTTGTATCAGCGGAACTAGTAAATAACATAGACAATTTTTAGCACGTTTTTTTGGTATGACACACATTAATTTGAAAAATCGTGCAAAAATAGAAATAATTATCGGATGTTAATGAAACTTTTCAGGAACTATTCACAGATGATCGAAATTATTATAAATATGTTTTTTTTTATGAAAGTCATCGTAGAAATATTTTTAAAAATATTTATTACCCCCCCATAACTAATTTTATGAAAACGCTAGAAATTGATCGCATTGGTTTTAGTGATTACAATAATTAAAAGCACAGGGCTTTGAGGAATGCAAATCATGTTTTTTTTTGTTTTTAATTGGATACACAGTACCTGAAAATCAGCTCTGAATTGTAACATACAAAACTCAATAAAACAAAGATATTATTTAATTTTAAATGCTTTTATTTGCTTTTAGTTGTTTTTATGAATATGGACAATATTTTCTGAAAGCAAAAAATTTTTTCGATGAAAAATGAATTTTTAATACAATTATTTGTTATTTCATTAATTATAATAGATTTTACATTTAAGTTGTTAAAATATTATAAAATTAGTTAAAAGCCGCATCGGCTTTCATAAGTGTCCTTATGAGATAGATCTTTTTTTAGCACGTTGTAAATTGTATCATTTTGACTAATCAGAAGATCCCCAGTAATTAAGAAATGTAATTTTGTGCTTATAATCGAGCTGTAATTATAAAATACGGAAGACCAACCAGAATATAATTAAGTTGCGTTATTTGAGTTAAGCATTGTTCTCCGCTGTTAAGGCCTTTACTTTTTGCGAAACACGTGTGGAGAAGTTAATTTGATTTTTCAATTTCAACTGAGAAGGGTACCTACAAGTATCAGTATCATCTTATGAAATTTATATGATCTTATTTTTATATTAATCTCAGTTATGACATTTTTCCATAAATGAAATATCAAAATTAATAATAAAATGAATGCAAATACAAATAACAGTAGAATGTAATAAATGTACATAAAATTATAGTATTTTATGTACAATTCTGATAAAATTTCATAAGAAAGGTACCTATAAATTAATTAGATACCTTTCTTAAGAAATATGAAATTTAATGTCACTCTTAACAGTTTTATTTTAATTTCTTTACAATATATTTCCCATAAAGCATCATAAACGTAAAGGTGAAAGCTAAGTACAAAAAAAAAAAAAATTAGACTGCTGAAAGTTTTCGTTAAAAATAACGGGGTAAATAATTTGTTCACGTAAATGTAAATTATTTCACTTTTCTCCTTCAGTAAAACAAATTAGCCTCATGGAATTCGTAAATATATCATTCATCACATGTCAAGAGACGCAAAAGTTTATGACCTGCTTTGTTTTATTTTCAAATTTCATCTTTTTGGCACAAAAGCTAAGTTAAGTTTGGTTCAAAATATTTTAAATAAACATTATAATTTCTGATTTTCTTAAAATAAGTTTTGAAAAAATGATAATTGATATTTAAAAAAATTTCAAAGTCAGATTTCCAGTTTTTTTTAAAATGGAAAAAAATGGTCAATTTTGCTGACTCAAAAAAAAACTAGATTTTTAACGAAAATTTCGGACGTGCTAGGAACGATTAAAAAATGGAAAAAAATACTTTGACCTTTCCTCTTAATAATA